TAGAGCACCGATGAAAAGTGTCTTTCAACAAAGATATATAAGTTTTAAACAGTGGGTGCCGAAGTACCTTACTCGACCGCCAGATGATCAGTATGGTCTTATCTGCTCAAGGAATGCATCAGGTGTTGTAATGTGATTCATTTATTGCCTATATATTGGTTTGAGATCATAAATTTATCGCCGATTATTCTTGGGTTGTGCGTCCTTACATCGCACATCAGCTATGTCTCTGGTTTCGCCGTGACTTATAGTTAAGTAGGTTCTTCTAGCGGGTTGAATTGTGGCCATCATAGATTGGGCAAATTCAGCGGAGTTAGTCGTCCCTTATTTCTCTTGCTTTGAATAGTTGCTTAATTCAAGAAAGGAAAATATAGTTGGAATCTACCTTTAAACACCAACAGTCTTGCGGAAACAGAACCACGCGTTGTCAGTTGTTGTATGACTGTATCCAAATTATTTGTCTTTCGACGTTTATGAAATGCCGTTGCTATCTATGATGTAGTCGACGCAAAGCCCGTCGCTTATTCTGCAGAGGAGTTAGTTTTGGAGGCCGCACCTCAGAATAGAGCATTCCTAGACTTAGTTAAAAGATATTTATTTCTCTTACATTCACCTCTGCTAATAATATGATTTAAGCAGTTTTTTGTTGTTTTCGCTTACCATTACTTGCCATGTTGTAGGGTACTGGGCACGCTGACAGCGGAAAAGGATCTGTTTGAATGTTGGGACGAAATGGATGCTTTCAAGCTTGGCCTTGTTAAACCACAGAAAGTGCCGAAACTGCTCAATCTTCCCCCTGCAGTGTCTGCTCCTGCAGTTTCTATCCCACTTTCGAAGATACAAGTCGAATCGTCAATCGTCGAAGCGACCAGTAACTGTTTAGTGTCACCATATGTTCCCCTGTCTTTACCTGTGGTTGAATCTCGACGCCAAGGTCCATTGGAGAAAATGCCAGTCATCCCATTACCGCGTGTGCAGCTTGACCGATCTCAGCAGAACCAGACTTCGCGTATTGCCCGAGACAAACAAATTGCAACGCCCATGCCGACGGTCAGAACCCCGAAGGTTTCCACCCGTAAACCGGCGAAGGATCCATCCAAGCAGCCGATGGTACCTTCGAAAGATTCGGTCGATGATTTCGTCCTGCGGGCGCTCAACAACGCCAAGGTCGAAGCATGCATTTCTAGTGTGGTGGAGGAAACTCACCTGCATAAGCTGTCGGAGCAGAAGGTGGTCATCCCTCGGCCTAAAGCCGCGTCCAGTCGATCCCGGGCGATCGTTGGTGCAACCACTAAAACACAAGTGTCTTCCTTTAAACCTTTTAATGAAAGCTATATCGTCGCTCAAGGTCCGGGTCCACCCATAACTGCTGTCAAACTTAATGTCAAAAAGGCATTAAGGGCAAGAATGCGCAGCGCTGCCCAGAAGAAATGCGATGCATCGTCGATGACCGCCAATAGAATACGACCTCCTGCAGTGACCGTACCTACTTCCGAAGCCAGGCGCGGCTCCCTCCCAACTGCATCATTGCCGTTGACCAGAGTATCCAGAGCTGTCATCGACGATCAGACACGGGCAGCCACCGAACAGCAGCCACCCGAGTCATCGTTGCGACCGCCCTTTGCCTTGCCCACCGATTTACTTGCCGAAAACGAGAAGAAAGTGGCCAAACTGATCCTGTTCAAATCCAAGATGCACGAAACAAAAAAAATGACCGACACCCAGTCGATAGCTGACCGACCGACTGGCGAACGTCCGACGATTTCTCAGCCGAAACTGGGGCCGTTGAAAATCAAACTTCACCTGAGTCATGCGAGAGACAAGAAAAAGAAAAAGGACAAGAAAACGGCGAAATTGCGAGGAGTGCAGAATTTGTCAAATCGGGCTGAATCTTCCAACCATCCTCTGCTTCAGAAGGCCGCACCGGCCCCCGAAACGGAGCGCAAAGTGCCTAAGTTGATTCTTAAGTTGCCTACGAAGCTGAAGGACATAGGTAAAGTGTCTGAAATGCTTGAAGTGGAAACACCGAAACAAGATATAAAAGAGGATGAAGTTGACGAAAGAGCTGCTGATCTTCGCGATGCAACTTCGGCAGCGCCATCTACTAGTTCTTGCTTTCAGCCATGGAATGTTAACCCTGAGGCGATCGCTCCATCTCTTGACCAGCCGTTGGATTTGACTAAGCATGCCAGCGAGTTGGTGGTTGTCGCTTCGCCCAAATCTCTGCCATCACCTCCATCTAGATCTCCGGAAAAATCCCCTGCTGTCATGGCTGCTGTGAATTCACCGGTGCCTCCTACTCCATCACCCCGCAGTTCCACACCGTCCAGCCCTATACATGTGGACGTTGTTGTCACAGAGGTAAAAGCTGCTGTGGAGGTTATGGAAACGCCAACCGGCGAACAAGTAAGCGACTTCATTTTAATTTATAGTTTAGATAGATGGTGATTAAAACCTGAATTCGATGGTTGGTCTGATATATTCTACATGTGAAGTATTTCTAATAACAACGGCCTTTTAGAAATACGAAGAGTCGCCTCCACGTGCGAAAACGCCCACGTTTCCACTCATTCCGCCTGTTTCTAGTCCCGTCCGCGAGGAACAGCATCCAGTGGCACAGGTAAAAAATATTTTGGTTCATTTTATCCTGTTACGGTTGCTCTTCTTTTGTAACTTGATCTTCACAGATGACTCTTACAAAGTCACTGTAGCTTTTTCTTTTTTATCCCTTTAGTTCACAGAAGTAAATTGGGCTTTAGATTTAAAAGCTTTTGGTTACAGTCATCTGAACTATGCCACCCTTAATGCATTGAATATTAAGTTGCCTTAAAGAAACGTGTACATAGCAATGCAGCAGATCGTTGTCATATTGAATTTGCTAAAAAGATGTGGAAGAGAAATAGTAATAAAGAGATATCCTATGGGGCTGAATATCAGCTGAACTGGTTTATTTTTTCCGGCAATGCGTGAACGGAAAGTACTTAGGAGATGTTCTCGTCACTTAGAAGGTGTCGAACTGAAATTACGTTCAATATAATCCGTAAATAGAATATGGCGAAGATGAGCGATTAAATTGTCTTAATTTAACACACTGTCATTATGTTGATATGCTAGCGCTTCAAAGGTTATAGATACAACGAAACAGATAGATGGTAGTTTTTTTAAAGCTGTCCAGGTTTCATTTAAACTAAATTACGCATCATCAGGACAAGCCCTGACTGTTTACCGTTATGATTACCAATATAGCTTGACTGTAAAGTGATGATGACTACCATCTGTCTGTTTTCTTGTGTCTAAGACCACTGAAGTGGCTGTTTGTTGAGGAAGAAGAAGAAGAATGCAGAAGGGAGTTTCAGAAATCATCTGTCGTTATTAGTCATCTTAGGTTTACGCAGTTTTGACAACAGACTTCCAGTCTGTGGTTATGACTCGTGGCCAATGACATTAGTAATGAACATTGCGTGAGATCTTAGTAGTAGTGGTAAATATACTAGTAGTAGCCGACAGGTTCAGACGGCGTTACCCACCTCTAGAGAATATCCTGTGCACATCCTGCACAAACTCGACTGAGTACGGTCCCTTATCAACGCGACAGGCAGTAGCGTGGGACCTACTTGGTCATATTTTCTACAAGGCTTGTGTGTCGAACGTCTTTCTTGCTTGTGTTTCAACTCCACCGCTATATTGTCCTTTCTGAGAGCGGGTTCAAAATAGGTTTTCGTAGGAAGCGGTGAATTGAAATTCAGGGGCCGTTGCAATCCGCTGTAAACACTGTTCAGTTGCAAACAGCTGTCACACACCGTGGCATCCAATCCTTCCATCCGGATTTCTGACATCGTACTAGACTGTCCAGCTCTTGGAGAGATTACTGTTAAAGTCATAAAGAAATTTATCAAGACCTGTTAGCTCCTCATTCATTGTCCATGGTTCGTGTATGATAACTATTATTGTCCGAAAAGGGCGTCTTGCAGGGTGATGCTATATCACCTAAGTTTTTCAACAGAGAAGGTTTTCAAGATGTTCTGTTGGGAAAATCAGGGCTGAACTTCAGTGGACAGTACTTAAGCCACGTGGTCTTTGCATGCGATATTCTGATCGTCGCCAGAAGAATTCTAAATTAGGATCCAAGAGATGAACGATGCCAGCTTTAAAGTCTTTCTAGAAAGGAACCTGATGAAGACCCGGGTCAAGTATAACAAATATAACAAGTGACCCAACGACCTGTTGAAATCGGCGAAATTATGCTTGAAAAGATGCCAAACTACATCATTCTAGGACTGCTTTTCTCTGCACTTGAGAGCCTGAATGTTATATGAAATCAGAAGAAGAGTACAAATGACTTTGAGTTCTTCTGGAATATTGTTAAATGTTTGTATTTGGGAAACTCCCCTTACATTTGAAACGGAAAGCTTTTGATCAGTAGGCGCTACCACTGATAACTTGTGAAACGTAGACCCGGACCTGAAGGTTATTTGCTCTGAACTGCAAAATACGCTTCATAGAATGGAATGATGGGAATAACAGAAAACTATAGAAAGACGAATGAATGCTATGTTACTGCCCGAGTGAAGAAGTTGAAGTGGCAGTGGGCACGACACATTGCGAGAAGTACCGACCATTGCTGGACCAGAGAGACATTAGACTGGGTTCCAAGAGAGGATAAATGGCCTCTAGTAAGACCTCGAGATCGATGGCTTGATGAGGTGAATAAGAGCGCTGGATCCAGATGGATAGAAGTGGCAGAAAACAGAAGTTTATGGCGTAGTCCTGGAGAGGCCTTCATCCAACAGTGGTTCGAAGCAGACTGATCATTATTAAATTTTATGACTGTTGTTGTTATCTTTCCTGGAGCTTATGCACTCTCATAAATTAGAAACTACATAAATATCATAAAGCTTGGCTCATGAAACGGACAGTCTGTGCATTCATTCGCTTTGAAATAGTTTTTTGCATCATTCATGGCCCATTAAATCGCAGATTGTCCAGTTATTGATTCTACTGCAACGCAAGCTGAAAATTTTAATTCAGTGAAGTTTTTTTTGCACGAGTCAAGCTAGTTCTGTAGTGGCTTGTATGGATTGAAAAGTCCCTGAATTTGGTGGCATCCCTTTTTAGACTGATGGTGTGATGATGGTTTTTATAGCCTTCCGAGGATCAAGTCCAGCAAGGCGACGAGGAATTCAAGGACGACGGCGATTGGCTTTGTCCGGAGTGTTTGATTGCGTACAAGGAAGGCGTGGACATGGTCGCTTGCGATGGATGCGATAACTGGTTTCACTGGTGAATTCCGAGAGGTGCTGTTAACGCAGCACTAAATTCCCATGTTATAGGGACTGCGTTGGTTTGGTCACAGCACCTCCGGAAAACGAAAACTGGTACTGTAAGGAATGCGTCGATCTTAAATGTACTCGGCGTTCGTCCTCGAAGAGCGGTTCGTCAAAAGTTAACGGGCCGATGTCCAAGCGGAAGAGGCGCTGATTACGGTCACCAACGTTTCGCCAGCTGTGATATTTGTACTTGTCAGTATTGTATATGATACTCGTTTCAACGCGTACAGACGCCGTAGCTTAGGTCTGTTCTTGGCGTCACACAGTGGACCGCTCGAAGGGTTCGAGTGTTTGGCCGAAAAACCACAATGTCGGTCTGACGTATGCTTAAAGTTATCGCCATTGTCGTCATACCTCAGAAACTCTTCTATTTTTTGCATTTGTCCACGCCATTAATCACGCCTGATGATATTCGGTCTGCCATCGCACTGTTTGCTCTCAAGACTCTAAGCTGAGTAAATTGCATGAACCTTTCGAACAGGTTGTTTATGCTTTATTTGGCTTGTCAATTAAACTATCAAAATACATGCTATGCCGTACCAGAAATCGGCACTAACTACCATCATTCAGAGTGCATGCATCGAATAAAAAGAAAAAGAATCAAAGACAACAGTTGGATCCATCGTTATCTTCACTTTGTTCAGAATTTGATGTTTTCGTTCTAATATCATTGTTTTTTCTGATCTGTTACTTAATTCGTGCTTTCATCTCCTTTGTTTATGCTGAAAAGGGACGTTATTTGACCTCCCGGTTAAGGCTTAGAAGTTTCAACATATTTTACGTTTGTCCAGGTGTTCGCTGGTCATCGTCCAGTGACAGCCTGTTCATATATTCATTGCGGTAATTTAGTATCAGACAGTTTTATTGACTAATTCAAAAAGAATGTGATTCGCTATGGGCACTGACAAAATTTGCTTGAAAGCGAATTCACTGCACCTTGACAACGAACCAGGTGTAGCTTGAAACGATATTGATATGAAGTGCAAAATATTTGCTGAACAGTCCAATAAGAAACGAAAACCAGTATCACATAACGGTACACAAGTTTGGTCGAGAGCATTGAACAGTTTTCCTTTGGATCTATCAGTTTTTTCATTCAGTTTTCATCCGAATATGTTGCCTGTCTGTGAATGTTATCCTTTGCTTAAAGAGTGAGAGGTCTTATGTCGTGATAAGTTCATAATTTTTTATAATTAACGTAGGCAGTGGTTCCCAACTCTTTTATGTATAAAGTATAAATAATTTTCCCTGAGCAAGCATTTCCAA